CAAAAATCTCAGAAAACTGATTTTAAAGGAGATTTAGTAGTAAGTACTAAAGTAAGAAGATTAAAAAAAATGCAACTACTTTTTGAAAAGACATATAGAGAGTACAATTGAATTAAATAAAAATTGTGATAGCATCACTTGTCATATTTTGTAGCAGCAGATATGATGTGATGTTATTTTAGTTAAGAGCAGTATTCAGTACATTCTTCTTTTGGGTGCAGAAATTAATGACTTTATTCTGTTACTAATTTCACAGCACAAGGTTCTTCTTGCTTTGATTTTTAAACATTGTCAATGGGACAAGCATGAATGGATATTATTGGTCTAATGATTTAAAATTCTACATATATCCTGCATATAGATAATTACAGATATAGTTGTAGTGATTGTTAAAAATGCTATATCTGACAAATGTCTAGTTATATTCAGTTTGCGTGTAGTCCAGGTATTCTGCAATTTACAATTCTGCATTTGCATTATCCAGATATATTCAGTCCAGGTGTATTCTTATTACATATAGTATTTCTGAATAATGGCCTCTGATTCTTGTAAATCATTTGTATACATTCACCCTTTTAGCAGTGAGCTCTTAACATGATAATATGCCATTGAGTTATATCTGAACCTTCTCCTTTGTGTGATGTCATGAATTGAAGTTAACTTTTTGCTGGATTTTGTACAGTAGAGGCAGTATGGAATAAAGGATCTACTATTAGATGACTGTTAGAGAATTGAGTCATCATTCAATAATGAAATAGTACAATGTAATGTCCGAGATCCAGAATAATGGGGCTTCTTTGATTCCAGATTTTATATGATCAGTTTAAAATCTTCTAAAGTAACATGTAGATACTATTACAAAAAAGTGTTCTTTATTTAATATTCCTTTAAAAAAGAAATATTTTGCATAAAAGATTTTTTTTTTTTTTTTTTTTTTTTTTTTTTTTTTCTGAATCACCATCATGGGAAATTAAAATGTAACTCAAGTCCAAAGTGGTAATATTTTCTGGATTTAAAACCATGCTACCAATATTTGCCGTTCCATGAATTGATTGATGATTGAGGCTTTGTCATTTCAATGTAAGGCTTCAATTGCATTATCTTCATTTAGTATTTTTTATCATATTCTTATAATCAGAAAATTTCACTTTTCGTTGTGATATCTGTAAATCTTTGGATTCTCAGCTTTCATCATCATTATCGGATTTGATTGCTGGCTTAAGAATTATAACCAAGCACTTTTTAAAATATCCGTCAATGCATCCTTATGTGATTTTACAATGCCTCATGTATCAGATTTTATATTAAAATACTTTTAGATTTCTTGGTTAGTCTTATGCTTTAGTATCAGCTTCTAAGGCAGGAATTCCAAACACTACATCCGCAGGACCATGGTGCCCGCCTATCATTTAACCCTTTGACGAGCAGTGGGATACCAGGTGTCCCACCTTTTTATCAGTTTTTATCTCCCAGATGAAAGCTGGAAAATTCCATTTAAAATACATACAATTATGCCTTTTAGTTCTCTAAATGTATAACAGATGGCAGCACTAGTATTCATTCATGGAAATAATGTAAAATAAAAATTCTTTGCAGGTCTAATTTTGAAGCAGTTTTTTTTTTTTTTTTTTTTTTTAATTTATTTCTAATGCAATTTAAATCGTCTGAACAACTTTTGGTGTTATAATGAAATTTTTATGTGAAAGTTTCTTTTTCTAAAAAAATTATTATTTGAATTCATATATATTAATTAAAATGGATGAAATTAAAAGGTGGGACCATATATGTCCCACTGCGCATGTAGGAATTGCTGCTACTAGATGGCAGCACCGCTCAAATATTTTTAAATTCAAGTATAATGTTCATTTTATATGTTGGTAATGCAAATTTATATCTTTTAATAAATTGCAATAATATTAAAACTTGAAAAATACTTAGTATTTTTGCCGAAAGAAATGAAAATATAACTCTGTAACATGAAATGTCATTGAATACTGAATGGATGTGTAAGTGTGATTTACCATAGAAAAATATCCCAAGCAGAGGAAAAGTGGATGAAATGTAAATCATGGCGGCCTTCTAAATAACTTCCTTTTCAAACCTGTAGCAAATAAAGTACTGAAGTGAAAATCTTCTCTGTTTCAAATCTATTATGAAATCATTAAAAAATGTCTAAAAAGTCATACAGAGAGAGATTTTTTTTAAATTATGTAATTTTTGTGAAAAAAATATTTTTTGTGAATATGATCAATATTTTCTAGATAATTATTCAAAAGCGTTTTTTATATCTTGCATTTTCATTTGGTTGCTAAAACTAGCACTTTAGATAAGCATGTTGGAATTTATGCTGTGGCAAAGATGCCATTTTACTGCTCTTAGGTGTGTGCACGGTAAGACAAGCGGTATCCCACCATGTCATGAATTACCTTAAAGGTGGACTTTTTTTTTTTTTTGCATGAAATAAAATTGTATTGGGGGCTAGTTATCTATGTGTAAAGTTATTTTTTCCCAAAAAATTTTTTTTATGCACCGAACCTCAAAGGGTTAACGTGTGCCTGCCGCTGTGCATTCGTAATAAAAATGTTTTAATTTTCAGTAATATTCTATGTGAAAGTTTTCTAATTTTTAATGAAATAGGAATTGTGCCCAACACAGATACCAGCACAAAGTGAAATGCGACCAATCTCTTTTTTTTTTTTTTTAATATTTTTTATGTGTATGTATTATTAACTGTACCCAACTATAAATTACTTGAAAAAGTATATGGTGCCTGCCATCCAACACATATTCTAGAATATGCTCTTGGGGACAAAATGGTTGGGGACCTCTGTTCTAAGGAATTACTTTATATATGCGTTTCGATGGCAACAAAGTTCTGATATTCATTTTCTGATTGACTGATGTACATTTTCAGGGAAAGAAAAAAATAGAGACATCATTATATACTAAAACTATAATTTGAATAATATTAATAATAATAAATCAGAATAATAAACTCTGCATATCCGAAAGTTTAGGGAAGAGCACAATTTGTTATTAACTGAAGTTAATCAAAATTTAATTATTTTCCCTGCTGCTATACATACAAAAGAAAACCTATATGAGTGATAAACTACTTTAAACAGATATGTCTTGGGACTTAAGTTCAGATAGAAAAATGCTATCCCTCCACAAAAAATACTCAAGTGCTAAAAGTGCAGTCATGGCAAATTGATGTATTGTCAGTCTGATTTCCTAGACAGCTTATGTTTAAAAGTGAGACAGATTAATCTCAGTTAGTCCTGAGAGAAATCACTTCTACAGCACTCTTGTTTTTATTCTCCAGTTGTAGACTTTGTAAGAGGGAAAAATTCTTGAAAAAAGAGAAAAGAATTGTTAGTGATCTTAAATACTAAATGTGCAGATTTCAGACTTTGTACTGTGTACTTATCTCTTTGTTGCAAAGAACTGTTTTAGTTTGTGTCTTATTGTGTTGCTGAGGAAACTCAATTGAAAAGACTTTTTTTAAGGTGAATGAGTATAAGTTGTTATAGCTTTACATTAACATTTTATTAAATTTCTTGTCAGAAAATTCTCAGTGAAATTGAGCAGTATAAAATTTTGTAAAATGGTAAATTTTATTTCATTTTCTTCTTTTTTACCATTTATTTTTTTTTTAGTACAGAACTTCTTTGTCATAATTTACTTTGTTTAAAAAGTATTCACCTGTTATGGGTAAGTAGAACTTCAGTTTATGCAATGTGCAGGTTTAACTAACTTTTGATAGAAGGTTTATATAAAAAGTCTGAGAGAAGATATTATATTCCTTCAAAGCATGGATGGAAAAGTAGTAATTTAAAATAATTATATCATAAGTATTGCTTGTTAAACTTGATTTTTATCAACTTAAAATTTCTTTAATACAATAATTAAGTCCGAAATCCAGACCTCAAAACCACCAACAATGTTTTCTTGGAGGCTTTATGCATGCGCATTTGATTCTCTCCTTGTGCATAATAAAGCATGTGGAGAGTCCTGACTCTTAATTTCACTTCAACACTAAATAAAATACCTTGTTATCTAAGAAACAATTATTTTAGCATAAATTTCTGCGATCAGTAATTTGGCTCCGTTGCTGCATCTCACACCGAAACATTCCACATAGATACATCATTGATCTGACGCCAACCTGGCGAATCATTATTTATTATACTTTCCTTTCCTCACCGCATGTTTATCAAAACATGACAACTTGAGTGATGACTCGTGTAGCGATGCCTAAACAATTTTTTATGTTAGTAATTGAATAATAAAGGAGTATGGTAACCTTTTATGTTGGCATTTACACTTGGCGATGATTACAGATTTAAGTTAAATGTGCTAAAAAATGTTGACGAGGAAAAATTTACCAAAAAATTTTCTTTCCATATGCTAAAAATAGATTTTGTTGATACTCATCAATCCATAGATTACGTTTAGGGATATTTGAATTAAGAACTGATTTTTTATTCACATAACATAAACCCAGAACCAGTGCCAGGGCCAAGTCGCAGAATTTAGGACTCGCAGAGACTGTACCAGGCGGTAAGATAACTAGCGTGGGTGCTCAATAAGGCTTAAGTATATATGGGAGTTTATTTATTCAGAACTCTCATAAGCAGGGGGAGAGAGCAGGAATCAAATTTATAATTCTGATGCTTAAAGAATCGATCATATCTTTAAAATGTAGTAAAACTTGCTTTTTTCACCGAAAAATTTTTAATTAGATTTAAATTTTAATATCACTATTGGATATTATATTACAGATAGTTAGAACAGATTGTTCGTGAATTGTCAGTATATATTGTTAGGATAGTTAGATTGATAGTTCGTGTATTGTCAGTATCACAGATAGTTAGAATTCTGTTCTAAAATATTCAGAATCTCTCTGTGTATATTTTAACCATTCCTGTAAAATTCAAAAAATCAAACTTTTCAGAATTATATCAAACTTGTGATTTTTTTTTTTTTACACTTTTTTATTAAAATATATGTGTGTATAGTTTTTCTGTTTTACACATTTTTTTTTATGCAGTAAAACATTCTTATTTTAGTTATCCTGCATTACTGGTAGTTCCTCAGTCTGTAAGTGATGAAAGTATTAGAAAAATTTGTCGATGCCATAGGCATGGAAGGTTAGTTTATATTTGTAATTATTCAAAAGCTGTGTATGTAATTTTCTATGAAATATTTTCATTATTAATAAATGCTGCAAGTAAAGTCTGTATGAAAATTGATTGAAATATCAATACTAATATTTTTATTGCATATTGTTTAACAAATTAAGTGTATTACCTGTGATGTAACATGTGATTTTGCTGCATCATTTTTCTCATTTTTATATGTTAAGTACTTAACATTACAAACACATAATGTGTAAATTTGATATGTTACCTTCCATTTTATAAAATGTGTTATGCAATAGTACATAAATGTTGATTTTGTATCTGTATGCATATTACAAGTAGATTCGTTATTAATGGCTCATTTGCATTATTTCTATTGCTTAGTTAATTATATCAAGAACTTATAAGTCAGTTTAGCCTTTCTTTAAATTTTGCATTAGTAATCATGCTATTTTTATTCACAATTTATGTATTTGATGTACTGAAACCTATTCTAGGTTCCCAGTTATAACATGGAGACATCCTCGCACAAAAGCATTACTTCTACGAGCCAGTAGTTTTCATGGAAAGGGTGTCATTGGAATGTTAAAAGGGCATCCATCATCTACTAGTATGTAATAATTCTTATAAGAGAATGGAAAATATGTGTTTATATTTTAAAATTAATCATAGCAAATACTTAGTTTTTTCATGATAAGTTTAGATTAAACTATTACTGTTATTCATCATAAGTTCACATAACTGAAATTTGCTTCACTTTATTAAATTCTGTTTAGATGGATATTTTTAATGCTCGATGAATGTAAAAAAAAAAGTGTTGTGAGAATGTTTCAAGAAAATTTTGTGATTTATTTTTATTCATCTTCATTACAATCTTACCAGGTACATCAAGTGAAACTTCTGTGCATTTAGAACAAGAAAAATTTATGTGTGCAGTTGTGAATTCTACTCCATCATCTACTATGCGACCAGCATGCAGTAGTGATATGCATGATTCAACACTAAGTATAACCTCTCTTGTTATGGGTGTTGGTGGTCTGGATAACTTTCCTACTTTGACACCAGAAATTGCACGGAGGACTAATCCATTGCAAAAAGCTGTGAATAGTCTTAGATCATCAGGTGGAAAAGGAGGAAGACGTAAGCAAATTTAAATTCGTTAATACTAATAAAAGCATATTGCTTAATGACAAATATATATTATAAATATTATTATATTATTCAACTCTCTTACATTATTGGGTGAAAAAGGCTTTCATAAGTAACATTGTTTTATCATCTTATAATGTTTGCTATATGTACATTAATTTTATACCTGTAGTATGCATTAATTGTGAAAGATATCACTTTCACTTTTGAAGCTTCATTTCAAATAAAAATGGTGTATTTGATTACAGGTGTTAGTACCAACAAAATGGATTTTCGAATGAACAGAGGTGCTTCGAACTTCCCTGAGCTAAGGTGGGGAAGCTTAAAAGAGAGGAGGCAAGGTTCTACTACAAGCCTAGGTTCCGAATTCAGCCTTAGGGCTGGAGGAAGGTTGTCTGATATTCCTGATATATTAGATGCTACAACTCACACTCTACATAGAGTAGCTCTTTATGTTTTTGGAGAGAAGGCTCAAATAAAGGTTGTATTTGTAGTGGTTTTTTGGGGGGGTCTTAAATGTGCTAGAAAATTAGAAGTGGGATTTATTTTGAATTTTCTTGAATTCAGATCTTTAAAAGTTGTTGAGTTTCTTAAATAAATAGCTCGGTTTCTATATACGAGGGTTGGAACTTTAATAGTGGCAACACAGCTGAAAAAACACTATGCAACAAAACGAAAGAATAATGCATGTACCACACGTGAACTACATACCTACCTTACCTCTTAGCAAAAAGACTCGTCCTGCTTACGTCACGCGCATGTGGAGTGACGTGAAGCACGGATCCTTGTATTAGCCCACTGTCTAAAGTAAGTGTTGTCAGGATGTTTTCAAAACAAGAACAAAGATGTTGGATAAAAATTGAATGTGCCAGAGGTCGTACAGCACGACAGTGTCATCAAGGGCTTCAAGAGGCTTGCGGGGAATCTGCAATGCCTTACAGAACCGTAGCAAGATGGGTGAAAGCATTCAATGAAGGACGCCAAAACGTGGCAGACATGCTGCGGCGAGGTCGTCCGAGTGTCAGCGATGCAGACGTGCAAGCTGCTGCCGCACTAATGGACAGTGATCGCCGCCAAATGATTCGTCAGCTGGCCGGACAAACAGGATTACCGCATACGACTGTGCTGCACATTCTGAAGGAACGCTTGTACATGAGAAAAATTGCTTCACGATGGGTTCCACATCAATTGACGGAAATGCAGAAATGGCTATGATACGATGCTGCTCAAACCCACCTGGAGCTCTACGAGCGCGAAGGAGATGCTTTTTTACGGCCTATCATTACGCTGGATGAGACTTGGGCCCGATCGTACCAGCCAGAACTGAAATGCCAATCAGACGAATGGCGTCATCATGGGTCACCACAACGTTCGAAATTTCGTCAGAACCCCAGCAATGTGAAAGTTATGGTGATTTTCGTGTACGACTGTGATGGTGTCATCCTAACACATACCATTCCTCCACAGCAAACCGTCGCTGTGCAGTATTACTGCTCATTTTTGGAGCACAATCTCCGAAAAAAAAACGGCGACACTTTCTGCAGAACGCTCCTCTCATTTTGCATGGCAATGCTCGGCCGCATGCAGCGCAAGCTGTGACTGATTTGTTCAAGCAATGGGGCTGGGAAGTGCTTTACCATCCACCATACTCCCCAGATCTAAGCCCTTGTGACTATGACTTAATTCCTAAGATGAAGGAACCACTTCGTGGCGCTCGCTTCCAAACTGTTCCTGAGATTCTTGCGGCAGTAGACCGGTCCATTCAAACTATCAACAAAACAGGCGCTGCTACAGGTATTCTGCGACTTCCACATCGTTGGAAACGGGTTGTACACAATGCTGGCGACTATATTGAAGGACTGTAAAACATGGTGACATGAATCACTTTTGTATTCCTTATAAATAAATAGTTGCCACTATTAAAGTTCCAACCCTCGTACAATAATAACAGTAAGAAACAAAAATCTTGCATTATATATTAGTAACATTTTTTAATTAAAGCAAAATTTTAATCTCCATGTAATGAAAAATTTTAAGAATGCAATTTTTAAAAAATCTGTTAAGAAGACATTATTAAGGGGACACAAATAAAATTTGGCAAATAAAGTACACAGTTAAAACTCCTGAATCTTGATATTTATTTTCTCAACACAATTTAAAGAAAAGAATTGCATTTTAGTAACAATTTTATTTTGTATACAATTTTTTATTTATTTTTTGATCAAAACAAGTACAGTCAAAAGTCTTTAATTCGGACGACCATAATCCGGAATGATCTATTATCCGGACCTCAAAGCTGCAAACTTTCTGTGCATGCGTTAACGCATGCGCAGAAACGTTAGACGTGGGAGAACGTTGCGGCACGCAATGAACTGGAAGTTGATCTGTCAGCACTATCCTTATCTTCAGGGCAGATGTTTTTATTTTACTCAGCTTATAATTCCTTACTAAATGTAGTATTTCATCTCGATGTATTCCGTCTTTGATATGATTTGAATCAAATTTCTCGTCATTAGAAATATCACGAGTACACATCAAATAGTTTTCTGGTTGCAATTTTCTAATTTCGACTATGCGTAGTGTATGCTTTACGCATGCGCGCATTGAAAGAAATGTTTAATAAAGTAAACAAATAAATATTAAGCTTTTTTTTTTTTTTTTTTTTTTTTTTTTTTGTAAATTTTGATATCCTTTAGATCATAATTTCATAATTGCTCTTTATCTCCATAAAGTACGGTTTTCATATTTTTAATTTTATAATTGCTGCATGCCATTTTACCAGATTTAAACTGATGATCTATAATCCGGAAAAACTGATGATCCGGAATCGCTGAAGTCCCGATGAGTCCGGATTAAAGACTTTTGACTGTATAGAGGATGAGAATTATTTTAGGATTTGACATAGATAAACACTAAACATAGGAAAATTCCATTCAATAATTTTCCTAATTCAATTGAAGGCAATACGGGTCCCCCTTCATCAGGAGCAAAAAATTCTGCAAAAGTGAGAAAGCGAATGTTGATCATATTTATACCCTACAGGCGACCAATGGAAGAGCCGATAGTGCCATCTGTCAGCAGAAATAGTGATGAAAAATGAAGGGTTAAGTTGGTAGAATTTTAAAGGCATTAGGCTAGACTGGATTGGAATTAAAATCATTGACTAAGCAGCATAAGAAGGAAGTAATTAACAGAACTAAGTAGTTTGTATGAGAGGTGTTGTACATTGTTTTGTGTAAATATTGTAATATTCATGTAATGCTGAGTCTTCGTAAAAACAAGTATTAAGAATCAGATTTATTAAGTTATGATGAAGCATACTGTAATAATCATTTAAATTAGAAAAGTGAACCCATTCCAGGCCCACGGGAAATTAAATGACAGATGCAGTTGTCAGTGGTTTTCATTTTAAAAGTCTGCCAGAATGAAAAAAGAAGATTTTATTATGGACGTGGTAATCATCTCTTTAAAGACCAATATGCCATTGTTTAATCCATAAATGAAATCACTCAACTGTGAATGAATATTTTATAAAATATCTTCCTGCTTCAGATGTATGACGTTCTACATATTTCAAGAAAGCAGTAAAAAATCAAGTGAAAGATATATCAGAAGTTTCCAATTTATTATTATTGTTGTTGTTACAACAGTTTATTTGACTACTGAGACAAGGATTTGCTTTTCAAATTTTTTACTTATTTGGCACATGAATGCAAAGTTTTCATTTGTGAATTTTTATTTTACAAAAGTTCCATTTTTTAACGAGAAAATTATTTAAATTCTTATTTTTATTTAAAATCGAAGTTAAATCTATTTAAGTTAGTTTCTGCATTTTCTTACTATTCTAAAAATGTATTTTGTAACATACCCTAAAAAAACTTATGAACTTTGTGTATGTGTGCATAAATATCTAATTTAATAATAAATTAATACTTTTAGGGTATCAAGGCAGAATCGTTTCCAAATTGTGATTTCATACCTGTTGAATTTCCTGAGGTTAGGCATGTGAAAGCCAGTTTTAAGAAACTTCTACGAGCTTGTGTTCCAAGTGCACCAGTAACTGATCCAGATCAGTTGTTTCTAAGGGCAGTTGAAAATTCTGAATGGTTAAATCAGGTGTGTGTCATAATAATAATTAAAAGTTATTGTAAATGCCCAAGATTCTAATAAGATAACTATTTAATATATGTATATGTTTAGCTTCAAGGTATTCTTCAATTATCTGGTGCTATTGTTGATTTAATGGATGTACAAGGATCTTCTGTTATGATCTGTTTAGAAGATGGTTGGGATGTTACAACTCAGGTATTAATTTCTTACCAATTCTTTTAACATATTTCATCAATTTGATGTGCAGTAAATTTTTATTTTAAAATTTCAGTAAATTTAAACTAAAGTAGGAATTTTGAAAACCTGAATTAGGGCATAATTTCTGAAATGAATTTCTGAAATCTTATACTTGAATATTTTGCCGATTTTTACTGGTTCAGATTAATGTAGAAATAGACTAAGATATGAGTATAAAACTAATTGTGCATGTATTAACTGCTGCAAAATTACACTTATTTTAGTACATTTATTAAAAGTGAAAATGTATAAAATAATGTTAAGAGTGTAAAGAATTTATTGCCTTTAATATGCTTAAAACTTTTTGCTTGAAAAATTTCCATTCTTTTTAATTGTAAATAATTATTGTAAATTGTTATTTGAATTTGTCATAGCTGTTGTTCAAGTTTGAATTTAAACTAAATAAAATGTAGGTAAAAATATTGCTTGCATATTTATAGTTGAAGTACCTCGGGACTTATGTGCACAAAAGCAAAAATTGCATTAAACTGATATTTGTGTTATATGTGGATATATATATATCTCTCTCCCTATAAAATAGGAAGAAATATTGTAGCGAGCTTGCTAAAAAGTTACCAGGAGCTGTAGCTCCATGAAATTGTTCAACACAGTATTTCTAAAATAGTAACATAGAAGTAATTTTTAAAAAAATATTAACATGAAAAAGTGAAAAAACAGCTTACACGCAAAATAAAACTCTTACGTCACATTACTTGTTAGCTTTTCAATTTCTATTTTGATTTTATCTCTCCCTATATATATATAAGTAGCAAGACAATATGAATTAGAAAGACCTCAGTGGTCAAGAATTTTGCACAGAGCTGCAAAAGTTTTTAAAAATTTTATATGTAAGAGAAATGTTAAAAGGCTAATGCTAAAAAATACATTTGATACTATAGTTCCTTAGCAAAAATGTAAAATCATATAACAACTAGAAACAATGTTAAAGTAGCAAAAGCTATCTTGTAAAAACTAAATGTAAAAATTACAAATCGAGATGACTTGAAAATTAAAAAGGGAGAGGAAAAATTAAGAAATTTAAATGCACAAGCAATTTTAAAAAAAACCTTGTAAAACTTGTAAAAATTAAAATACATTTCAAATACACAGTAAATATGTACAAAAAATTGCAATAAATGGTAAATAGCTCAACTCGAGGTTTGAGTCAGATTTATCAAGGGAAAAACAGCTCAAAACTCGAATCAAGTTAATACCTATAGCGCGTTTTGTCAAACAATTATAATTCAGACTATAAACATAATTTCACTAATAGAATAATCCAACTTATTAATCTAAAAAAGTTAAGTTTCAATTATATTGCTCCTTTTCCCGATGCACGTAATTTAACTGTAAAACTTACTAAATAACAAAAAAGCCTAGTTTGGCAAATGTACAATTAAAATACAATAGCTAAAAAGCTATTGACAAACTGTAAATTAAATTGTAAATGTAAAATTTACTATTAAACAAGAAAAAACTATACAAGATAGCCTAGTTAGGCAAATGTACATTTAAAATCAGGGTTCGTACGGTCCCTAAGAGTCCTTAAAAGTCCTTAGATTTTTTGGAATCGATTTTTGGTCCTTAAAAGTCCTTAATTTTCGCCAAACTAGCAGAAGGTACTTAATTTTAATCATTTGAAATTTCTGTCTGTTTTTACAACTGCCATTTTGAGTGTGAATTAGCATTTTAGAGGAATATTTTTAGAGATTTACTGACATATATGGTTATCTTTTGAATAGGTTCATGGATTATAATTTGTTTCTATTTCTAATGTAAATGATGGGATACTCCAGTTTCTAAGCAAGAAGTGAAACACAAGCATTTCGAAATTCATTTTTTCTAATAAAGAGCTCTTAAACAACTTTTTGCTTTTGGGGATGTGAATTCTTTTATTAAACAGTTCTAAATTTGGGGACTTATCAACATTTTGGCAATTTTAAGATCAGTTTCTATAGAAAAATTTTAATTCCGAGATCTGAGAATTTTTCGACGATTTTTTTTAAAGCATCGTAACATTGATAAATTTCATTAAAATAATGGTAATATATTGAAATTATATTTAAAAATTACATTAAAATAAAATATTTTTAATTTTCGCTGTCGTATAATAAAGTTTCATTTTGGCAACTTATTATACAATATTTTGAATCTGAAAAATAAACAAGGTATAATGCTCTAAAGCACAGTTTACGAAACAGCCATTAGTAAAAACAAAATTAGCTATGTAAATAATTAAAAATGTCTTCTTTTTAATTTTTTCATAGTAAGAGTTTTTCTCGTGTAATTGTCTCAGTATATGCATCTGTTTTCTCTATAAAATTAATTTTACACCTTTTCCCTCCTTTTTTTCCAAAATATTTTTGTCTTTTTGCTGTTACAGAATTGGTACGGATAATTTTTCTTTAGTATTTTAGACATTGTAGCTTGGAAGGTTTAGAAGGATTTGAAGGCAAGATTTATAGACCTGCTATTCTAGAAGATTCGGCAAAATGAAAAATGTCTCCATGGTATCAACACGTAATGGATGTATTTTACAGAAACTTTGCAATGAATTTCTTATTTTTTGGAGAATGCCTGGAAGAACAATGAAAACATAATATTTGAATGTTTTACTTCTGATACTAGAATCTTTTAACATGTTTATCTTCCCTTTATTTTCTCTACTTTTCACTAGACTCAAGTATGGAAAATATCAAAAATGCTTCTAATCTTATCACATGGTCAGGCATTATAGAAAGAAATTTTTTTATTAATAAAGAAATTGAAAACTTACAATTTAAAAGATTCATCTAATTTGTCCTAATGCATCATACACATAGTTGGCACTAGGCATTTTCCCACCTGATGCAATCTCTGTGGATCCTAAATTCTGCTACCTAGTGCCTTTCTAAATTTTGCTTCCAATGCCTGCTCCAAATTCTAAAAGTTTTGCCATTTCTAGATTTTGTTGTTTGGTGTGTCACTAAATTCTAACTATTCTGCCACATCAGATCTGTAACCGGCCTTTACATATATATATTTCATATTTCTTATAAATGTTAATATTACTAAAGAAATAAGATTAGCCGCATTTTCTATAAATTCTAAATGCATTTAGTGTTTTTTTAGAATAACAGAAATGCTTAATTAAATCCAAAAATTCTAAAATGAAAAAGAAATGTGTTGAAGAAGAAAGAAACTGAATACATAAAGAAAATTATTCTTCAAATGTGCAGTTATTATTATTATTATGTAAATTACCCAATTGTTTATGATTTCAGCATTTACTCTAATTTTCCATGCCTATTTCCTCATATGATAGAGTTACTGAGTCAGCTTAAGATCAAAATTAAATTGCATAGTAATCTTTGATTGCTAGTCCACATTTTTAGTTTGAATTTGACTGTCCCTGTTTAATTGCATTGTGACAAGCTGCAGTTGATTTTGTTCAATCATAGGAACGTGCCTGCATGTTTTAACGTTCTTTTCAGATAAAGAGGATTATTTAAACCTTTACGTGACTTTGTAGTTACTTTTAGACATAGCGATAATTTTCTTCATGTCTAGAAGAGGTTTTGGACTATTTAAGTTTTACCACATCAAGTAAAATCTCATTACATACACTCTATGGAGAGACTGGACAAATTAGGAGATGAAGCGCACAGAAATCTAGTGGAGAAGCACTGGTTTGCATATTAAGACAAATCTCTAATTGTTAGAAAAGATGCTTAAAGACAAAGAAATCGATATAAACTAGCCAAAATGTTTTGGAAGGCTTCAGATTAAAATGACAGATAAATATTTTGTTGAGTGGTGTTGTTATAAAACATAAATGTTTTGTAGCTTTTAAAGTGTAATTATCGTAATATCGTTTAAGAATCTGTGTCATAAATTACATGTATTTTAAACTGTGAAGTTTTATTAGATTTTGAATTTAATAGGGCTAAACAAAAATTTTTAAAAAATAAAATTTAATAGTGGCCATGTAAATCCATAGCAACTAAGGTTATCAAACTACCTAATTTAATTATTTATAACTAACTGCTTATCCTTAAAAATTATCTCTACATATTAAAGTGAGTTATTGCCTTTCATTAATACTCACTGTGGTCACAAGATAGAATACAAAAATTTGAAAATTCAAGTAAAACTTATTCTTTGCATCTAGTGAGACTTAAAATAATACAAAATAACTTACCACTTCTGGTGCTTTAATGGATTATTGGAACCTTATGGTATATTAACTAGGTTACAACCCCTGGAACTCTACACGAATCTATGACACTAACTGCATCAAACAAAGCCTAATTAACTTTCAACACTTGCCAACCATGCCTACATCAGGCCTTTCAGGTTTGTTCTAATGAGGAGGTCTCTCTCTAAACAAGCAGCAGTGGTGACAACATTCAATCTTTTTGTTATGAATCATGCTGATTATGATCTTCTCATTTTAACCTATGCCGTTTGACATAAAATCTACCTGATATTTACTAAACCTCTAGACTGACCAAGTATGTGACAAAATGAGACATTAAAAAAAATCAGCATAATGCTAAATGTTAGTAAAACGTAAATGCCACATATCTTCTTTCAAATATGTCCAAATATTATAAGTGTAAACTATTTAATGCTACTTTATAAATTAACTAAAGTTTGTTTCATTCTCAATCTTTTTAATAATTATGTTAATTAATTCATGTGTAGTAATAATGGATCTATTTTATTTTTAGGATGGTATTACAAAAGTAAAATTCAGGCATAGATAAAATCAGCATAATGCTAAATGTTAGTAAAACGTAAATGCCACATATCTTCTTTCAAATATGTCCAAATATTATAAGTGTAAAATATTTAATGCTACTTTATAAATTAACTAAAGTTTGTTTCATTCTCAATCTTTTTAATAATTATGTTAATTAATTCATGTGTAGTAATAATGGATCTATTTTATTTTTAGGATGGTATTACAAAAGTAA